CACACACACACACACACACACACACACACACACACACACACACACACACACCCACCACTCCCACCCCACCCCACCCCATCCCCTGAAGCATGCTCTCTTGTCCCCCTTCCCCCGCCTGCACCAGTGGCGCCCCCTCACCTCATTCAGCCGCCGCGGTTTCTGACGAAGCTTGACCGGTGAGATGACCTCGTCCGACGCTCCGGACGCTTCCTCGCTCTCTCCGTCCGAACCGATGCGCGGGTTCTCGTGAACGATGCCTGCGGAGAAAACAAGAGAACGTATGCGTGAGCCGGGCAGAGCCACCTGGTGGGGGCGCGAGAGATATAGCGAGCCGACGTGAACAATTAACGTGAATGAACAACATGTGCGAACAGCACGAACAAACTACGTGAATGTACAACCTGAACGAACATCACCGGTGAACAACGAACGGTGAACGAACAACGTCAACAAATGACACGAGTGAACAACGCGAACAAACAACACGAATGAACAACGCGAACAAACAACACGAATGAACAACGCGAACAAACGACACGAATGAACAACGCGAACAAACAACACGAATGAACAACGCGAACAAACGACACGAATGAACAACGCGAACAAACAACACGAAAAAAATAACATGAATGAACAACATGAACCCTCCTCCGCGTCTGGCGCGGCGAGAAGCATCCCGTTGCCACGGCGACGAATGCCAGCGACACAGAGAGAGACAACATTCCGTCTGCCTTGCGACTGACAGGTTGGTTTCCGCTCAAACCTGTGCGGCGTTTTTCTTCGCGCGCGAGATTGCCCGAGGTAATAAACACACCACCTAGTGTGCGTGCGTGAGTGTGTGTGTGTGTGTGTGTGTGCGTGCCTGTGTGTGCGTGCGTGTGCGTGTGCGTGTGTGTGTGTGTGTGTGTGTGCGTGGTGTGTGTGATGTGTGTGTGTGGCAGTATGTGTGTGTGTGTGTGCGCGTGGCGTGTGTGTGGATGTGCTGTGTGGCATATGGGTGTGTGTGTGTGTGTGGTTGTGTGAGCGCGCGTGTGTGTGTGTGTTGTGTGTGTGGTGTGTGTGTGTGTGTGTGGTGCGTGCTGTGTGTAGTGGGTGTGTATGTGTGCGTGGTGTATGTGTGTGGTGTGATAGTGGATCGAAGTTGTATCTTATTTGTTGGCTGCTGCTGCTGCTATTTTTCTGTCAATTTATTTTGTCTATTTCCTGTTATTTGGATTATTAATTTTATTGATCTCTCCTGGTTGTCGGTGCTTTCCTCGCGCTCTCTTCCTTTTGGTATGTCTTCTCTCTCTTCTCCCTCTTTCGTTTGTCTCTCTCTTCTTCTGCTCTCTTCGTCCCTCTTTTTCGGTTATGTCTCTTGCTTCTCTCTCTCTCTGTCGTCTCTCCTCTGCTCTCTTATGTTTCCTTCTTCCCTCTCTGCTCTGTAGCGTTATTTGCTGATCATCTTTCTCTCTCGCCTCTCCACCCACCAACCAACACGCACACGCACACGCACACATACACACACACACACACGCGCGCACACACACACGCACACGCACACGCACACTACATGAGACCCGCGTCAGTAATCGCCATGGCAACGGACGCACGTGGATGAGGGGGCGGCGGCGAGACAGGCAGGGGGAATGACGTCATATAATACACACGTACGTCGTCTGCATCGCTAGAGAAGATCTCGCTCTCGTTGGCGCGCGCAAAAAAACGCGGTTTCGGTTTCCTTCTCTCTTTATCTATCTCGCTCTCTCTCTCTTTGTGCAGAAGCACCGTTAGTTGACGGCGCATGGCCATGATATATATATATATATATAGTATATATATA